ATTTTACCATACAGTAGCACAAATTAGTAACTTGAAAATGTAGAAAGAGATACAGAGAAGTGAGAAGTTCCCAAAAAGCCATGAAGAGAGAGAAGATGTACATGTGCTAGTACTTTGTTTACCAAAGAGGATATTTGATTCCTTATTTAAAAATCCCTACAGCCCTGAAACATCACTGTCTACAAAATAAACATGTAATCCAGAAAAACAGAGCTGACTTCTTAGTAATAGTTGCATCTTATCAAAATCTGGGAATATTATGAATGGCAAAACAGGTCTGTTTCTGCCTTATAAAAAATGTTTTTTATTTTAATTAGGAAGTTCAATGTTCTCTTGTTTCATCCTTATAGTTTAGGACGATTATTCTTTATATATGAAAAATATAAACTAACAAATTGGTAATCTTTGTGTGTTGATGTAAGAGACTAGAACCTCTATCCTTATATCTTAAAACATTACTTTAAAAAATACCAAAAAATGTATCTAATAATCAACATTAGAGAATATAACTCGTGTCAGAGTAACTGCCTTTTATAAAGTATAGGCCAGAAAATGATGAGGCGCCATTCATGCAATTAAAACTGCACTATCTAAAACTAAACTAAGCAGGTAATTATTATTACATTTCACATATGGGAAATAAGATTTCCCAATAAGGTTTTCCCAATTTCCCTAATGCCACACAGCTAGTAAGTATTCAAATAAATTGTCAGTTCTTTGCCATTACTGCTCTTGGTACTGACAACATTACATTAGCTAAACAAAGTATCCATTTTCACAGCTATTATACTATTTGAGAGCAAAAATTCATTTGATTTTGTAATTATGAGATAATAAACTTTAAAACTTGATATGAGTGAATATGGTTCACTTTCCATAAACATCTGACTTAAATGCAACAACTGTGAAAAACCAAAACCGTCCATACTATTGAAGAACTAAGTAAAATCATGGAGCAGGGAGGCAAGATGACACAAAATAAAAAATGCATATTACTGCATATGTGATTTCTACTAATTTTCAAAGAACAGATAATTCTTATCTTACATAAATCTCTTCATAAAATTGAGAAAGGAAAAAAAATGTTCAAGAATTCCAATGAGGCTAAAATAACCTTGACTTACAAACCATATAAGGACAAATCCAAAGAAAGAAAGAAGTATAAAGGTCTATGCTATTTATTACATAAAAATATAAAGAAGATTAAAAATTAGAAATGAAAAAATAAAGGACTTAAATTGTATGGAAACTCAAAAAGAAATAGCACTCCACCCTAGTCAAATTGGATTTACCTAAAGAATACAAGAATAGTTTAAAATAAGAAAACTCAAATCAATAAAATTCACCCTATTCACAAACAAAAAAGAATAAAAACCATAAGACTTTATCAATGTAGTTAGGAAAAGTTTCAATAAAATTCAAATCTTTCGAACTCTCCTGCATTGCGGGTGGAATGGAAACTAGTACAAACACTATGGAAAACTGTTTGGAGGTTCCTCAAACTGCTAAACATGGAGCTTTCATAGGACCCAGCAATCCCATTCCTAGGTATCTACACAAAAGACACAAAAACACTGATTCAAAAAGATACTTGCACCCCCATGTTTATTGCTGCTTTATTTACAACTGGAAACAGCCCAAATGCCCAAAAGTGGATGACTGGATTAAGAAGATGTGGTACATATACACAATGGAATATTACTCAGCAACCAAAAAAAAATAAACACATGCCTTTTGCAGCAACATGGATGGAGCTAGAAAAGATCATGCTTAGTGAAATAAGCCAGAAAGAAGAGGAAAAATATTGGATGGTCTCACTCATAGCAGGAATATAACAGACCAGATGAGAAAATGATAATAATGAACAGCTATATACCAGAGACATTGTATGGGGGTTGGAGTAGGGAATGGGATCAAAAACAGTGGGGGGAGGGAAAGATATTGGACGATGGTGTTGGCACATGGGTGATTTGGTGATGGGAAGCCCAAGGGGATTAAAACTGAGATGGAAAAATGCACAAAATGATGTAAAAATAAACTATTATATTATTCATTTAAAAAATTCAACTCTTCCAATAAAATTTATAAAAAATTATCAGTCTAGGCCCTCCCTGGTGGCGCAGCGGGTTAAAGCACAGCACTAAAAAGCTTAAGCCACATGAGTTCCACATGAGTTCGATCCCCCCATGAGTTCGATCCCCGCCTGCCCCGGAGGTGACCACATGGCGCGGCAGACCTCTTCTGACCCGCCCGCTGCTCCCCTCAGCAGTGTACTTTGTCGATCTGCCTGTTAATGCTCCCCACTCTGTCTCTGGTGAATCCTCTCACCCTCCGCATCTCTGGCCTGTACCCCAGTTCTGTACGAATAAATAAATAAATCTTTAAAAAAAATTATCAGTCTAGGCATAACTACATAAAGAATGCTTACCAAAACCTATAGCAAACATCAGTTAATATAGAAACTTTAGATATATTCTCCTTCAGATTAGAAATCAGACAAGTAGTATGATCCTGGTCAATATAATAAGACAGTAAGAAGAAAACGAGATTATAACTAACTGGTAAAAACTAGCAACAAAAGTTTAAAGTACTTTGCTAGTAACCCAACTAAGAGTGCCCAATATTGTTAAAATAAGCGTAAAAAACTCCCTCAATCAAACCTCAAAGTAGATTTTATTCTTCCATGAATGGAATGACTTAGCATTGTGAAGGTGTCAATTATTTCCCAAATTCACTATAAATAGAAATTGTGCAAATCAAAATTTTAAAAGGACTCCTTTGTATGTACTCAAACTGATTCTAAAATATCTTAAGAAATAAATGTGGAGGAGATTTAAAAGAAAAGGAAAGCACTGCTTACCAAATATGTAGAAAAAGTACAAAAGAAAATATAACAAAATACACAACTCAGAAACCAGTTCATATAAATATGGTTACTTAGTATGCCAGAGCTACCCCTCAGGAATCACTGGGTGATGTGCAGATTATGAAGTAATTAAGATCACTAAAACTGAACTGATCGTATAGAAAGTAATTCAGTTGGATCTATACCTTACAATATATACAAAGGTGTAGTCAAAATGGCTCAAGATCTAAATACTAATGGTAAAATATTAGATAATGTAAGTAGAATGCTCTATGACTTAGAGCAAAGGGGGATTTTTTTAAACAAGACTCAAAAGTATTCTATAACAATGATGCTAAGAAAATTTTTTTTAAATGAACAAAGTATAGGGTTGAAATAAACTTTCTGTTTCATGAACGATAACAGACATAATTTAGGATCTGATTTGAATCATCCTAACCTGAAGATGTAGATGTTGACTACATGTATGTATACAGGGAATTTCTGAAATTTCTCCTTCCAGCAAAGAGGAAAAAAGAAAAAATTCAACACAAAATTTGTTAAATGTTAAAAGTGAACATTTTAGAGAAGAAAAATTTTACATGATTAGTGAGTCTATTTTATACTAATAATAGGAGAAACACAAATCAAGACAGAGATATTATTCAATATCCTTCATATTAGCAGAAATCTGAAGTTATTATAAATATATCTTATAACCCAGCAACTCCACTCTTACATATAGAAACAAACACAAATTCATAAATTGCTGTAACAGAATTTTAGAGGCAATTTAAGTACTGATCACTATAGTAACAGAACATTACAATGCAACAAATACAAACCATCAATTAATTATCACGCAGAAGTGGAAGGTAATGAGCTAGATATACAGACTATAGTAAGGATAGATATTTTTTAAATGTGCTAAATAAAAAACAAAATAGAACTATCTCTACTGACAACATTGAGTAATTATAAACACATATACATACAAAATTGCTGCATATATAATCATGACTATATATTAAACATGTTCAAATTAGTATAATTGGGGACGCAAGCCAATTGGGTTTCTGGATAGACATGAATGGAAGAACATAATAAAATAAAAGAGGGAGACATGTAGGAAATAATGATAATAAATGTGTTATAAAATAAGATGTATCTGATTTAACTAATGCCCTGTGTATTAGTTAAAATTGTCTGCTTATTTTATATGCCTTTCTTCAACTGAGTCTATATCCTTGTTCATCTCTATATAACAAGGAATGATAGATGGCAAAAGAGTAGAGATGGAGGAGAAAGAAAAAAACAGGAGAGTAACAGGAATAAGAAATGGAAGCAGAAACTACCAGATCTTTTTTCAAACAAGGGCAATCACTACAAAATACTTCAGGCTCTAAAGTCCACAGACCAGTGTGGAGTCCCACACTGTCTGAAGCAATGACTAAGACAATATGTTAAATAAATTAAGAAAGTAATTGTGTAATAGGGAAGGTAATAAGACACACTCAATTTAGAACAACCTTGTAGAACTATGCTATAAAGCTATGAACTTTCCTATTAAAAAAAAAAACTACATTACAAAAAAAATCAATAATGGGTTTTTCTCAACTTGTTTTTGATGATACTTTATAGTTTAAAATTATGATTTACGTTTTGTGAATCTGTGAATCTGTGTGTCTGCAATAGGTGTATTAACAAGACAGAGAAGGGTCATTACTTAGAATATTATTTCCTCATTCAATATTACCCCAGTCAGTCAAATTTCTTTCACATGTGATTTATATTGCAAAAGAAATAATTGTCATCAGTATTAAAAAAGTAAATAATGGTATTCTAAGATTAAAAAAAAAAAGGCAGTTATCCAACTAACTGTATTAAGAAGAACAAAAATCTAAATGTGTGTGATTATTTCTAGGTATAGTCTAATAATGTGTTGATGATTAGTAGAAATTAAAGTTACTAGTAAAGCATATTACATAGCAAAGATAAATAAAAGATACAAGAAAAGAATAATCTTTATAATTAATTGCCCTTAAATAATAGCTTCTCATCCTCATTCTTAATAAACAGAACAACTATCAAAACAGAAAATGCAGAGTTCCAAGTACACTAGATATCTTTATTAGGCAGTCAGAGAAAGACTCACCAGAACTGAATATATGTGTAGACATCGATAAACAGGAGAGAAATCCACCAAATCTTGGGCCCCAGGTACCTGCAAACATAACAAAGATTATCACAGTATATTCGAACAAAGCTATTTCGAGCAATTGCATTTACTTTTACTATTAAGCAGAAAATATTTTTTGTTTTACAAATCAGCTCATTTCCAAGAGAGAATCACTAAACACACCATGCTTCTAAATTAAGATCTAATTTTGACATTTTAACCATGAGATTAATAAACTGTGAATATATCACCAAGGATAAGAAAAAGACCAACAGGATGGATATCAAATAAGTGACAAAAGTGTCTCCTGTCCTGCATCTGCTTTGAGAGATACATCTTAAACCATGTGCCTCCAAAGGGAAAACAAGAAGCTGGGGATGTGATTTTAAGGACTTCACTTTGACTTCTTAGACACATGGCAATCTACATAAAAACTAAGTTTCAGTGGTCAAAACAAAACATGCCACACAGGATGAATTAAATAACCTGCTACTCAATTACTGAACAGAATGGGAATTAGTGAATATTTAAGTCAGCTAGGAAAAATGGAAGATAATGTAAATAATAAGATAATCAATGGAAAAACCAAACCTACAAGTAAAAGCAATGAGTTATCACTTGAATAATGCACACTAATTAAATCTAGACATCTAAAGATAAAGTAAAAATGCATACTAATTAAATCTAGACATCTAAAGATAAAGTAAAATATCAGGTAAGAGCTTAAGTGTAATCATTGTGCTAATACAGAATTGTTTCATGACCAATGAGTATATCATAATTTACTTTGGTCTTGATTTCCTCAAAAAAAGCACTAACTTTAAATAATAACAAATTCAATCACCAATTTGCTTATATATTCTTCTTCAGGAAGTTTGTTGTTGTTCTTTTTGGCCTTAACTCAGAACCAACACTCATTCAAAAGCAAAGCGCTCACAGCCATTCCACAGAGGCTAGGTCCTTCAGGTGTCATACACATCATGACAGATGACCATCCACATTGGGGGGCAATAAACCTAGAAATCTGTAACAAATAAGCTAATGGGGCCTTTACAAACAAAACTACTTGGTTAAGATTGGCTTATGTGGCTCAACAATTTAGGAAGGGAACTCAGGCCTCACCTGTCACAGCCAACAAACATTTTCATCCAAACCTAATCTCTGTGAGTCTGTCTTAACCTCATCATACTAGACTTCAACCTGTTGAAAGTGCCCAGACCTGGCACTTTTGGAAGCTATTTCTTAGCCTCTGAAACCAAAATTCCCAGTTAAGTCATCCTAAGCACATGACTGCCTGCTCTTAAAGCAGTTCACAGTAATGTATTCAAGAAAAGAAGACACGGAATGGAGTTTCAGTTCACAAACTCTACCTCCACCCCCAAAATAGCCTACTATTTAGAAATCATTTTCCTCCATGCTCCCTTCTGTGAGGAACACTATAAACACTGTGAGGAACCAAGAAGAGCGCTGTGAGGAGAAAGGCATGTAAAGCATGCACTGACTCATGTTGCTTTGAGCTAGATGTGTTTTTTCTGTTTCCACTAATGAAAAAGTATCACTTATGTCCAAGGAAGGAGAAAGGAGGAGAGCAACTTGCACTGAACGTGAAGGAATGCTATATTTTTGGAAGGATAAGAAATGAACTTTCAAAAAATCGAAATAAATGGGAGTGGGGAAGTGTATCAGAACAAAGGGCAAATTTTTCCTGACTACCACAAATGAATAGGTCTGTTTTGAAGGTCCACATTTTGCTTCCCATTTCAAATGCTAAATTTCTGTCAAAGCTGTCTTCCTTCTACTTCCCTACCCCTCCCTCTCCTCAACTTGCAGAGAATGATTCAAGCAGACTTAGGTTTCAGCTGGGGCAAAGGGAGGGGCCCAAGGACACTTTCCTAAGCTAACAATGACTGTCTCTAATGGTTTCAGTCTCTAACAAAAGCCATGACTCCATCTTTATCAGCTTCATCTAATTTTTCCTTTCCAAAGTAAATAACACAGCCCTTGCATTTTACACATGTCCAAGTTTGACAAATCATTATCGACTGAGACTATAGCTGATAAGAGATAACTTTGTGGTAGGACGTTGTCATTTCCTCTCATAAGGGCTTTCTTTCTGAGATACAGAAACACGATTAAAATAGTTAAACATTTCCTCTGCCTCGCAGTCAGGAACTCAAGACATTAAGATACTGGAGTCTGTATTTTTCTAGTTCAAATAGATCTATGAAGATACCAACAGTAGCCACAAGCAGTATACTCAAGATTATACTGCCTTTTTAACTAGTTGTTTTCCTTAAGAAGAGACATGAAATAATTTCATCACCAAGGACAGCAGCTGCCTAATTCCCTATATAGTTTCTGAATGGAGAGCATCAGTGGCTACTACCAGCTCAAATCTCTTGATTTTCAAAGAGGACCGAATATTAGGTAAGATTTTAGATTTTATAACGAAGAAAGCTATGCCTTAGAGCATGTTATAATACAGAAGTTAAAATAAGCAAACTTTTGGAAGAATTGTAAGGTGATTGCGCCACAGTACACAGAACTAGAAATCATGAAAGCAATATGTATATTCTACAATCACATATATTAGAAATTGTGTATCACTGGATACTCATATATATGGTTAAATGTAATAATATGATTATTACATTTTTATAATAAGTATGAACAATTTTTGTCAAAGCATTACTTCTGAATAATGTCTATAGAATATCTGTTGTAAAGTAGTATTATATACTACATCACATGCCACTAGATAGATGACTAAAAGAAGACTAGAGACAAAGGAAGCTAATTACTAAGTTAGAAAAGTAAATTTACAAATAGTATAAATGGAAGGCAACCTGAAAAATTACTCCTATGACTTCCTGCAACCAAAATATATTTGGAAAAATATAAAGTTCAAAGAAAAACTGGGAATATTAGATGGTCAGAAAGAAAAGAAACAAACTTTTTGATGATGAAAATTCTTGCCTTGAAATAAATAATGGCAGCCCTCCATGGTAGCACAGTGGGTTAAAGCACAGCACTAAGAGGTTAAAGCCACTTCAGTATGAGTTCAGTCCCTGCCTCGGAGGTGGTCCACAGGGCACAGCAGACCTCTCCTGCCCTGCCCGCTGCTCCCCTCAGCAGTGTACTTTGTCAGTCTGCCTGTTCTGCTCCCCACTCTGTCTCTGGTGAATCCTCTCACTGCCCCTGCACCTCAGGCCTGTACCCCAGCTCTGTATGCATAAATAAATAAAAATAAATAAATAATGGCAATCAAATTTTAATAGGTATACTCATTTAAAATTTTTATAAAACCTCCTCCCTTCAAGAAAGAAATTAGATATTAGTAGCTATTTCTACTGTCTTTAAATACTCCCAAGTGAAAGGGGAAAAGGAGAACATCTGTAGGTAATGACCTGATAAATCTACCTGCTTTATTACTAGGAAAGCATATCATTAAGAAAGGGGGATAGAGTACAAGAAAAGCTTGCTTGCCTCCCTCCACTTAAGAAGAGTAGCAAATGTACTATCAGAGATTTATCAATACTGCTCACAAAAACAGTAGATGAAAACAGAAATGCATTAGTACTCACTAGCCCTGTTGTTCACACAGCTGTCCCAGGAGATATACACACACACACCACACACAGACCATTTATTTTTCTCTTAAGAAACCGTCTGAAGTAGATGGGTTATCCAAAAAGAATGAGATCGAAATTTGCAAGGAATTCAGATATGTTTTTCACTAATAATTTTAGTCATTTTCCTTCTTGAAAATACTTTTGATTACTACTTTATACAAAACAGTTTCTCAGTATTGGTAAATGAATGCAGGGACAGTTATTAAAATGTACCAGGCCGCTTTCTGAAGAGAGAAAACAACAATGACTATTGCCTTTGCATGCAGAGGATCAGTTTCAACTGCCCATATTTTGTCTGGCAGTCAGGAGATACCTGGCTATGCTTTTTCACTGGTATGCCTTTCAGTGCTACTTTACTTCCAAACCTCAGAGAAAAGAAGGGTAGAATTCATCTGTACTTGAACTTCCACAGAGCTGAAACTCTGTAAAACTTTGTGAAATTCTCACCACTGTCACACCAACAAACTAAAAGGTCTGAAATTAGAAGTGACTAGAATTAGCAAGAGTGGTCATCTTATAATATATACAAATTTTGAATCATTGACACTGTACACCTGAAATTAATGTTATATGTCAATTATGTCCCCTAATTTTTTTTTAAAACTTACTTTCAGAAGCTAGAAACTCTTCTGTCTGTGAACATGTAAGGATATCCTAACCAGAGCCCTGTACTTAAAAGTACAGAACTTTGCTATTGAGCTTGTCACAACATTTTAGAAATCTTCCAAAGAAATCCATTAACAGATTACTACTTAAGTTACTCAAGTGGCCATATGAAGCAAAAGAAAACAAGGAACACCACCAGTTTTTCTTATTGAAACACCGCAAAACACCTTATGGTCAAAATCAAAAGATCGTCCCTCAAGAATTCTCAGCTTGATGCCAAATCTTAGGGAAATTAAAATTCAACTGGTCCTTACTTAGTAGTGGTGTACTATATTCCAAGAAATTGTAAACTGTTAGACAAAAAAGGAAATTTAGCACTAAATTAAGTATTAAATAAAAGGTACTAAGAGGAAAAAAATTAAAATGATCAAAGATAGGCTAAAATGATATATTATTATATAAAAGATTAAGAACTAGTATCCTAATATATAAAAAAAACTCACTATAATTGGAGGAAAAAATAATTAGAAAAATGGTCAAAAGACATGAACAGACACTTAACTGGAAAAAACAAAACAAAATACAATAAAACCCTCAAACTTGTAATATACTATATTTCACCCATAGGGATAAGAATGTAGACTGAAACTACACAGAGGTACTATTAATATTTCTCATATATGTAACTGACAAAATTTTAAAATTTAAAAGTTTAACAAGATAATGTCCTAAAGAAGTTATAAGGAAATAGCCACTACATACATTGCTAGAGCAAGAAAGGATTGAAATAATTTGAATCATAATCCT